TTTATTTATTTATTTATTTATTTATTTATTTATTTATTTATTTATTTATTTCTCACCTTACTATTTTTATAAATAATTCAAGGCAGCAAACATATCCAACACACCTTCCTCCTCTTATTTTCCCACAACAACCACCTTGTGTAGTGGGTTGGCTTGAAAGTGACTGGCCCAAAGTAATCCAGCTGGTTTTCATGGCCAAGGCAGGATTTGAACTCATGGTCTCCTGCTTTCTAGTGGTTAGGCTAGACCAGACTGGCCTTAATAAAGCAAATCCTTCTGAGTTTGGTAAAATGAGGACCCAGATTGTTGGGGACAAGATGCTTAGAGAGGGCTGTAAAGCACTATGAAGCGGTATAAAAGTGCTATTGCTATTACATAAAATATTTATAATCTGAGCATAAAAATATATATTCTTATCCAAAGTATAGGAAGAACACTTAGAAAATTCTGGATATGCATGTATTTGTTTTTTTAAAAAATAAATAATTCTCATATATGATCCAATGAATTTTTTCTGAGATGCTAGAATATAAACGGAAGATGCTTTAGTGTCTAGGCAATCAGTATTTTTCTTGTGATGACTCACTCTACAGTGCTTGACATAACTGTTTATATGAACAAATTCACAGCATAAGAGCCCACACTTGGTGCTACTAACTACAACCATTGCTTTTCATTTAGAATAGAATAAGATTAGAGGCGACCATAAAGAAAACTGCTGTCAGCCTTCAAGATCTTCTTCCTTTGCTTTGTTTCTTTCTGGCTGTCATGAGTAACGGGGGGTGGAAGGGGGAAAAGTGTTACTGACTAATATTGTATAAACTGAGGAGGGGTTCTATTTCTTGCTTAGCTTTCTCTTCTCTGCGCAACTGCAAACCTTTATCTGAGTAAGCCAAGGTCAACTAATCATAACCACCTGAAGATGTCCACTTGATGTGGTTCACAACTTTTAATTGGAAGAACCGTTTGAACTATTGGGGGTGGGAACATTTCAATCCCTTGATATATGTGATGTACGTGCGTATTTCCTCAGATTCAGAATTCTCTTGTTGCTACTACTTGACTTCCAGTAAAAGATAACTTTTCTCTAATTACAAGAGTCTAAGTATTTCTTTCTTGGATTTTGAACAGAGCACCAGCTGACAACTACATTCAAGAATGAAGGCAAATTGCATTCAGTTCACCTTATAAAAATCACATCTGGATTAGAAAATTATGGGGAGATGGATGTCAGATGACCATTCAAGAATAGAAAGAAGGCACCTACAAATGTACTATAAGGCTGAAGTTAATTATTAGCAATGCAACATACAGTAGCAGCAGGCAGAGATCTAGATGAATATAAGAGAGGCATGAATATTACTAAGTATTGAACAGAGGGCCAGTGGCAACAGCATATGAAGAATTTTCTGCTCTTTATTACTCTTATTACTGAAATATAATTATGTGATTCACTCAACCCCTTTGTATTTAAGATCAACAGATCTGAATGTACTGCATTGATCTGTGTTAGTTTGTTCATGTAACGGAGGAGGAATCAGTTTATTTATTTATTTATTTATTTGATTTGCCAATTGTTTACAAGATAATAAGTATAAGTGTATACATAGTTGTGAATACATGAAATGGGTACATATAAGAAAAATAAAAGAAGAATAAGAGAAACAATAGGACAGGGACGGTAGGCACGTTGGTGCGCTTATGCACGCCCCCTACAGACCTCTTAGGAAAGGGGTGAGGTCAATAGTAGACAGTCTAAGGTTAAAGATTTTGGGGTTTGGGGAAGAAACTACAGAGTCGGGTAGAGTATTCCAGACATTGACCACTCTATTGCTGAAGTCATATTTCCTGCAATCAAGTTTGGTGCGGTTAACATTGAGTTTGTATCTATTGTGTGCTCTTGTGTTGTTATGGTTGAAGCTGAAGTATTCATTGACAGGTAGGACATTGCAATGTATGATTTTATATACCATGCTTAAGTCAGACCAAAGACGGCGTAATTCAAGGTTTTCTAGTTCTAGAGTTTCAAGTCTGGTGGCATAAGGTATTCTACAACGAGTAGAGGAGTGGAGAACTCTTCTTGTGAAATATTTCTGGACTTTCTCAATTGTGCTAATATCAGAAACGTAATGTGGGTTCCAGACTGATGAACTGTATTCAAGTATTGGTCTAGCAAATGTTTTGTATGCTCTGGTTAGTAGTGTGATATTACCAGAGAAAAAGCTACGTAGGATTAGGTTAACAACTCTTAATGCCTTTTTGGCTATGTAGTTGCAGTGGGCTCTAGCACTTAGATCATTAGAGGTGAGTATTCCAAGGTCCTTTACAGAGCTTGAGTCATCAACAAGATCTTGACTATTCAGCTTGTATTTTATTTTCTGATTTTTTTTGCCAATATGTAAGACAGAGCATTTATTTGTTGAGATTTGAAGTTGCCATTTGTTTGACCATTCTGATACATAGTCAAGATCTTTTTGTAGGGTAGCAGTATTGTCTGTGGTATTGAACAGCTTTACATCATCAGCGAAAAGAACGCAATTGCTCTTAATATGATCACAGAGGTCATTTATGTAGAGTATGAAGAGAGTTGGTCCTAGAACACTGCCTTGGGGGACACCACTATTGACAGGTACAGAATTTGATAGGACGCTCCCAATTTTGACCATTTGTTGTCTGTTTGCCAGGAATGCTTCTATCCAGTTATTCAGTTGTCCAGAGATACCATAGGATTTTATTTTTAGGAGTAATTTGTCGTGTACCACTGAATCAAAGGCTTTACAGAAGTCTATGTAGATTGCGTCTATTGCTTTGCCCTGGTCGAGTTGTGTCGTCCATATGTTTTTGCAGTGTAAGAGTTGCAGATTACAGGATAGTTTTTTTCTGAAACCAAATTGTTTATTGGAGAGTAGGTTGTTTGTCTCTAAGTGGAGGATGATGGATTGGTTAATAATTGATTCCATGACTTTACAGGTGACGCAGCATAAGGAGATTGGTCTGTAATTTTCAACTAGGCTTGGGTCTCCCTTTTTGAAGATGGGGATGACTGTGGCTTGTGACCATAGGTTAGGTAAGGAGCTGGTCCTGAAAGATTTTTCAAAGATTATGCTTAGAGGTTTGGCTATGGCAGTGGATAGCTTTTTTAAGAAGTAGGCACATATTCCATCCGGTCCAATAGATAGAGATGGTTTTAGATTGCGTAGTGCTTTTTCAACATTGTCTTCTGTAAAATCGATATGTATTAGATCATTGTTGTTATCTGTGGTACGGCTAGGAAATACTGGGCATGATCCATTGCTGTTTACAAATACTGAGCCGAAGAATGTGTTAAAGATGTTGGCTTTAATGGTGTCGTCGTTGCAGTCTTTACCATCAGGTCCTATCAAGGGTGGGATAGACCTTGAGTCTTTTAGTTTGTTGTTTACAAAATTGTAAAAAGCACAGGTGGAATTGGTGCTTAGAAGGTTTTCCTCTTGTTTAATGTGATAATTGATGCATTCGGTCTTTATCTGGTGGCATAAATTTTTGTATCGGCTTTTGAAATTGTACGTGTCATTCATATAGTTTAA